TTCGTATTTCCATTTGTTATCTTCATGAATGAGAGTAGTTGGGTCTATTAAGCATACTTTCCTACATTTTTGTTGTAAGGATGATTTTTGATCATCCGTAAAAAAACATCCCTTTATTTCCTTCATTTATTGTTTTTTTCTCATTTGCTCCTGTTTCCTCATTCTGGCTCTCTTTGCTTCCTTTTTTTCCTGTCTTTTTCCCTTTCCATAATTCAGATAAGACAGCTGAGTAAATCTCCTTTTATCTTAGCTCCAACTTAACCTTTCTATTACCCTCTCCTATCAACGTTCTTCTTCTCTTACCTCCAGCGACCCACCCACCTATCCAGCCGTCAATTAATCCATCAATGAGGAGAAAGAAAACTCACATCCAAGTCCAGAGTAAATGAAAGAGGGAGACCGCTGGGCATGTTTCAGGAAAAACCACACCATCCAAGAGATTTGGTTTAAATGCAATCACTGGTTTAGGGCATATTGTGTAAAATAAAAAAAATCACAATGATAATAAAGTGTTCATCAGTTTCAGCCAACATGGGTCCGTTACTCAGAGCATAGCAGGAGAGAGCAATCAACCCCAGAGTAGAGCGGGTGACCCCGGTCTGGTCTTATGCCACTGCCTCATCCGCCTACCATGGGCTCCACACATTTGTATTCCACCGGAGAAGTAATGAATCTTTGACCTTCCTGCTCTGTATGGTAAGTGAGTGGGGGAAGCATGGAGGGAGAGTGTGGTAGGAATGGAAACCTGGAGGCGCAGTAAATTGGGTAAAGAGAAAGACAGGTGGAGAGGAATATGTTGCTTTAGTGAAACATGAATCCACATAGGCATTGAGTTCACCTTTAACTTTGCTGATTCAAATCTAAGAAGATAAGCCGAGAAGACATAATTCATGGTAAATTAAACGTACGTGACTGTTCGTTATATAAAGGAATAGTCTGCACTCTGATTGAAATCCCTACTTGAGCTAAGCACAGTTGGTCTGAAATCTAATTTTATGGTTTATGTTCTGCAGTTTAAAAAAAGATGAAAGATGCAAATATAAGAATTACATGCACACAAAATAAACTTCTACTTAATATGGATACAGGTTGGTAACGAGCAGCACTTATTATACTGTTCTCCACCCTTTATCAGCTTCACAACAACAACACTTCCTCATTACTTATTACATGACATGACACTGAACTAATCGGAAGGGATCAATCCGACCTCCGTTCACCAAACAAGCATTTTAAATGTTTTTTTCTTCTCCTCGAGGACAGATGTCACAAATTGGCATCATGATGTAGTTATCTCGGCAAACGTAATTCTTTGTACTTGTGTGAAAATCGTAAAGAAATTGGTTTCTTTTTCCGGGCTCTTATTGCTAAAGTGAGCCAGAGGAAAGCTGCTGGTGTACTGTTGAACTGAGGCGCAACGGATGAACGACGCTGCTCTGGGATGTTATGGACCAAGAAATTATGTGTTTTATGCTGCAGGGAAACACACCGCACAGAGTAGAATAGAAGTTCAGTCGGGAAGATGTGCTAACCACTGGCTTTACCGGGATAACTGAGAATTTCAGAGCCATTCCCAGAAGCATGTATCATCTATCAGACAGTGATAGATGATGATTGCTGATGAGTTTCATGATTGGCTTGAAGCAAACTGGAACATTTCAGACAAAGTAAATTCAAACATGTAAATAAACTTGCTGTACAAATATTGTTAATATTTTATCTAAATTGAATCTAATACAAGCAACAAGTTAATGTTCAAAGATAATATTTGTTGAGAAATAACAATGTTCTAACTCGTTGGGTGTTAATAAGTCTAGTTTTATATGGTATGATCCACACAACAGGAGCTGGTGGTAATAATAGTTAAGGTAATTGATTTCTAATAAATCCTTTCCCAGCTTGAACAAAGTTTCTAATGCCACTTTATCTTTGTTTAGTCCTTAATATGTTCTGTAATTCAATACTACACAATACATAAATTAAGTATTTTCATAGAACACAAATCAATGAATATAGTTTATCGTATCAACACCTTTCTTTAACTCCCTCAGCATGCACCAGGTTTTTCTTGGAGCTTCACTCACTTCTCTCCACTTCCTCTGTGCTTTTATTCTCATTATTAGAAGTAATGTCTTTTTTCCCTAATCAGCTGTTCTGCAGCTGGACGACTGTTTACCCAATCAGCAGTCATTTTGATCTGCCAGCGTCCAATCAGCTCTCAAACACTTTGAAGTCCCACAATTCAATCAGCTTCTGATTTGGCTTGTACACTACGTGTGTCTGTTGTGTGCACTTGTGTGTGCTAGCATTGTGCAACAGTGACCTATTAAAGTGTACAAGCCCATGACGGTGAAACTCTGCAAATCTCTCTTTTAACAGCCCACTGTTCAACGCACAGGCACGCACGCACACACACACACACACACACACACACACACACACACACACACACACACACACACAAATCACTCTGTCAGCCTAGACAAGCTAATCCCAGATAAGAGAGTGAAGACAGGCCTTTTCATTAATAGCATCAGCTCACCAACAAAGGCAGGCTGACAGGCTGGCTAACTAAAGCACAAACATCTTAAACACACAACCACCCACACAGGATGAAGTTATTTGAAGGAACTAAAGTGATTGAACAGGCTATGGAAACAAACAATGCTTAAATAGAAACCTTTGTCAAAGACAGCAGCGACAAGCAAATCTATTTTTTTTTATACCTCAAACAATGCATTAATAGCCATCGACCATATTCCCACAGTGGACATGTTGCCATGGAAATATGAACTATTATCTGCTGTATTTTTATTAACAGGAAACACCAAAATCAAGTAGATAAAGAAATGTCTCTAATTGAATTGTGATTTTTTTTTTTGAAGATTTGAACTGTAGGCTAAGAAGTGTTTGACGTAACTAAAGCTTCAATTCCGGAGCAGAATTATAAAACTTTACTCTACAACGGTCCATTTTCTTCAACTATTCCAGCAGTCTAGATGAAATAAGTTCATCTTAAATACACAAAAGAGAGTAAAGGCTATACAAAATATTAGCCACTTTCTGTCAAGTAAATAAGGCAGCAGCCAAACAGCTAGCTTAGTATAGCTTAGCTTAGAGCAAAACTAACAGAAGGGGAAACATTAGCTCTTAAATGTACAATATGTTGTTGTTTTAAGCGAGGGTATTTGCTGGACTCTCCATTGGTCAGTTGCCTGACAACTTAATGCTAATGCTGGAAGTTACTGTAACCATCCCGAAAGTAGAAGATTTGTTTGTTCTTTCAGAGGTTGAGCCATTTCCACCTGCAGGCTTTTCACTAAGCTACTCTAAAAGGTAGCTCTCAGTACACTAGGCTATATATCTTTGTGCACTTCTCTAAGCTTTTCAAAAAGATGTTGAACTTTTCATTCAAGTGACAGTTACTATACTTCATGGTTTGTCTTGGATCATTCCAGTTTTAGAGGAGTCCTATCAATGTATAAAACAATAAAGGTTTATGTTCAGCTTTTCAACATTCACGTGTAGCTAAAATGTTGTCAGTGCGCCATCGAGGCTGATGCACACAAGCAAGAGACAAAGGTGATATGCTGGGTGACTCAAGTTCACTTACTGTAAGCTTTATATGATGCTCTTAATGTAATGAAATGTAAAAATAACACAGAAAGTGTTACATAACGAACATTTGGCACTCAAACCACAGGAACTTAGACGATAACAGTGAACTCAAAAAAGAGAGGTTGAAGGTAGATTGTCATTGTTTTCTTGATGGGTGGATTCTGAAGTAAGTATGTAGTGAGAACTGCCTGCTTATGAAAATGTTTTTCTTTTCTATTCATGTGCTGCAGTAATGTTGTCCAGCCTCCAGAGGGCAAGTTGCCATTACAAAGCATTGGATTGTGAAGATTCTGCAGTGTATCACACAAGATGCCTCTCTTTCCACTTTTCTATACTTTCTACAACCGGTCCCCTCTCGTCTCTCTCTTTAACTCACTCACTTGTTGCATGGTTAAATTCTATCTTCCATTTTCCACGACTACTCCTACTTTGTCCATTTTGTCTGCGCATTGAGTTTCTCTTGCATTGCATTGTCTTAGCCCCTTAGCATGTGTTTCTCAATTGCCTTGTCACACTACATGCACACACACAAACACACACTCTCTCTCTCTCTGTCCAAACAAATCTCTGTATTATACACGGTCTCTCTCTCACAGCAGGCTTCCTTATTTCAAACTGTTCGCATTCATGCTCTTTTTCTCCCTCTTCATGGTACATTAACATCACTGTGAAATCCAAACTGGACAATGGAAAGATATACGATAAATATTCCCTCAGTTTTCTTAAAGTCTTGTTCCCACAGAAACACCCACATAGAAACACACACCTAGAAACACACCCTCATTCTTCTGTCATCATGGAGGCTGAAACCCACACACACAAACACAACTGCTTCAACAATTGCCCTCATCATTATCTCCCATCTGGTCAGTGTTTGTGTGCCCAAACCATCAAACCAGGCCAGTCCACTTTCCAGTAACCATTAAAAATCATCAGCACACAGACGCACAAACACACACACAGACCCGCACACAGTCACGCACACACTAGACTCAATGGGACCATGAAATCACCTCATTAAAAACACACTCGGCCAATATTTGATGCAATCGGCACCACGCACATTTAGCATGAGATTTCTGATAGTTTTGTTTGTATGAATTGTTAGATCACACAACGCAGCAGACCACATAGAACCCAAAGACTATTAAAGTGCAGCTGTTACAAAGTGGAAAATCTTCATATGCCACACACTCTCACACCGACATTTCTGCCTTTTGAAACAACATCATATGACTCCAGTGAAATTCAAGTTGTAACGCCTGAACTATTAAACTAATAAACAGACACACACTCAGCACACGGACACACACACACACACACACACACACACACACACACACACACACACCAACACACACACAAGTCTTCAGGGGCCTTACCTGCGCTCACAGTGATGGCCTCAATGAACTGGTCCCTCCAGCTGTTGGTTCCTACCAGCAGAGCCAGGTTGGTCTTCTTTATCAGCTTATCCACTGTGTTCTGTGAAGGAGAGAGAAATAATAATGGTCAGATAGGAGACAAAATACCATTTCATAAAACAACTAATATGTGTGAAAATGACACCTGTACTTTTGAGAAAAATGGGCACAACTTATGCAATGTAACATTGACATGGACACAAAATGAGTTTTACCCTGCTGAATGGTATTGAAAAATACAGAATGCACAACATTTTCACTTGAAACAAACCATCATCTTTAGCGTCACATTTATAATCTGTACCATCTTAGTCCAACTCCTCAGTAACTGTCTAACACACAGGCGTGGTTTAGAGGTTATGAAAAAATGTTACCATTAACTCGTCTGTATATTATAAAAATAAAAAAATGGCGCAACAGTTCACGCTACTTCAAACTTCTCCTCCTGGTTTTGTTTTCAACAGCTTCCTTCCTTTGTTTTCTTCCTTGTCTCCTTCATTCCTAGTATTCAGAGTATCTTTTTTTTTTCAAAAAGAAGAATCTATGACACAATGAGATAACACACATAACACACATGCCTCCTTGCACAAAGTCACACACATATTAAACACTAATTATCGCAGCAGTGGGGATTGCTCGCTCCTTTTTCTCCGCACTTCAGAGGGAAAAAGGGATGCTAATTGTGTTGGATGGAGCTTAGGGGTGTAAATAGTGCCTCACTGCTGCTGTGGACACGCACTCATACACACACATAGCCAGTTTTACGCCACCTATTGTGTGTGAAGTGCTCATCTTACCATACACAGCGAGGTTTTGTAATAATGTTTCTCTAATTCTGTGGTACTCTTGAATTATTATTTTTTTTTATCTTCCTTGGCTGCTTTGTCTTTTCAGCCCTCAGATCTTCACTTGAAGTGGATTGAATATATGAAACACATGCTCTGTACACATGTGAGTGTGTTTCTGCAGATGTGGAACCCTTATGGCGGATGAGTATCAAACTGTAACCGGCTTGTTGCACTATTAACCAGACCTGAAAGCAACAAATGTTTAGCCATCTTGCATTATATCTCATTTTATTCTCTGTCTTTCTCCTTCTCATCACTGACATTTGAAGTGACGTCTCTTAAAACAAACACTTACCACTTAATTTATTCAAATTTCAATAACATATTAGAACACATGTATGCTGGTTTATAAAAAAAGCCAAATATTTCAATAATCTCACAAATGACAAGACATTCAATGAATAATAATAAGAGAAAATTGGGGTTTTGTGTTGACAATTGCGAAGCTATTCAGTATATTTTTCCTAAAGCAAATCCGCCATTGTTGCCAAAAATCGAGCAGCCAAATTACCCCTTGTACTCTATTATTCTCCCATAATGTGATGTAAGAAAAGAAAGTCATGAACCCTGTATTTTGTCCCATGTGTGACAATCTGCTGTTAGATAAGAGTGTATTTAAATCAGTCAGACGCCTTCTAAACTGTCAAAGTGATTCTGTTTAAAAATGATGTTTCTTGAAAAACTATATCTTCCTGTCGAGAGGCGAACTATTACTGGGTGTTATTAACCGTCCGTCTGAAGTGAGTGTGTGGGTTGAGAGGCAAAAGAGAACATGTACTAGTAAAGAAACAAACACACACACACACACACACACACACACACACACACACACACACACACACACACACACACACACACACACACACACAATGCAACATGGATGGTAATTACATCTCTGCTTATCCTAAAAGTCTGTGTGGGAGAAGGAGAGCAAGGACAGGACAGGTACACTGATTATGCGATTATACCATATGTATCAGGAAAGGTGTGTGAGTGTGTGTGAGTGTAAGAGGGCGTTGCTTTTGTGTTGTTTCTGTGTGCACCATTGTTTTTAATTTCAACACTGAAGCGGCCACACAATTAAGACTAATTACAGAATGAGTCACAGTTGAATGTTCTTTAATTTCAGCTACATCTCTATTCTCAGCAGTGATTAAGAGGGTTAACTGTTGTGATTCAACTGTCTTGAAAGGAATTACGTTTGTGTGATTAAATAATCCCATTGTGTAAGGCTAGGTGTGAGACATGCAGTTATGTATTTGTTTAGTTTTTTGTTGGGGTTTGGGAATTTGGTATAAAACAGCAACAGGATTAAGTGTTCATCATCTTCACAGCTCACTAATTCGGGTTGTCACATTTTATAATTGTGTGTAGGGATGCTCAAATTAGCTGTGCTTAAATTGTCTCCATCAAAGAAAAAACTGTAAACAATTAAAATGATTGGGAAGTTTTTTTTTGTCTGTTTAACATAGTGTTTGGCAAAGAAAGACTGCAAAGTGCCAAAATACATCTCTGGATTAATTTATCTCCAATCAACCAAATACTGCATCTCCATGTTTCTCTCCATTTGCCTCTGCTGTTTTTCTGCCAACATGATGCAAGAGCAACTGCTGTGACATAATCACAACGTCTACTCCAAATGCGCCGATTAGGCCTGAGACATTCATTAAGCAGGTCATCCATTAGTACCAGGGTTGGTGATTCGATCAGCAGCTCCTCTTGTCCGTGGTTACACTGAGGTGTTGTGACCCTGAATAGGCGAACAACGCCAAATTTCTTGGTCCCTTACCTTGAACTCATATGATTCCTCTATGATGACCTCCAGTTTGACGTGGTCTCCCAGCATGGGACGTCCCATCTCAGCGATACGCCTTTCTTCATCATCTTTTCCTGCCAGCGGCTCTTCTTCCTCCTCAGCCTCCTTCTGTTGTTCCTCTGAAAACACAACAAGAAGACAACCAAATGCAGAGTTAGAGATGGACTGCAGCAAAAAAGTCTAGCAGCAATACTTTGGACTTTTTTTGTCTCCAGAATACTCAACAGAGAATAAACACTTCATTAAATGTCAATAAACAATAGACACACCGATTAAAACATATAAAACAGTATTATTAGGTTTTGATCATTTTGAAAATGATAGGACAAAATTCCTACAGGACCTTTAACCAGTGACGGTATAATTGGGTAGCAAAACGGTAAATTATGAATGGACTACGACTGTATATTGGACAAAATTATTTAAAACGCCCATGACATCTTTAACCAATCCCTGTCTCTCTCTTTTGAAAGGCACAACCCCCACCTATCTCCCCGTCACTTCTTTACCCTTTTCCCTGATGGACTGTGTCAGTAATTGAGATTCTGTAAAGACTGTAGAGCTTGAACTCTCTGCTGGCATCAAAGAGAGAGAGGCAGAGAGAGAGAGAGACTGAGACAGAAAGAGATAGAGAGAGAGAGAGAGAGAGAGAGAGAGAGAGAGAGAGAGAGAGAGAGGAAGAAATACAAAAAAAAGGGTGAAAAGAGAGAAAGGCTATGATCAAATGTCTATGGAGGGAACAGTTTTCCATGCTATTGCCATCCATTAGTGTGCAGTGCATTGTGGGTCTGAAATAGCTCATTGGTTATTAGTTCCACTCAGTTTAGTTACAGCAAGGACCTATAGGAGGTCAGTCACATTTACATATGCATGCAAAATTTCTGCCAGGAGTGTTTTCATCAAACTTTGACTCAATCATACTTGGAAGCATTCATGAGGCACGAGAGCTGTAGGCAAGGAGGGCAGCAGCAGTCTCTCAGGAACATAAAAGCTGCCTGCAGCAACACTGACCTGCAGTATCCGTCACATTTTTAAAGTTAAAGTAAATCCAAAATTAGATTTCATGTTTCATTTAAACTGCTCTGATGACCCTTAATAAAGAGTAATCTTTATTACAGTAGTTTGGTCACTGCTGAAAGGCTGCCTAATGCTAGTTCAACCATACATTGACAATGCAAAGTCCACGGCTTATTTGTCTACTCAGTTAGATACATTGTATCTGGCAAATGGCTTCATCTTACATCTTTTTGACATGCTGCTAAAGCTGCTATTTTAACATTCGATCATTGAAGCAGCTGCTACACACCACAACAGACAAAGTCTGAGACAACCCCACTGACTTTATGTTGATATTATTTTAATATCTGGCTTAAACATCTGGCTTAACATTCATTATTGTATTGTCTATGAATTCATCCATATGGTTAAAGGTGTAAATTAGCTTGTTCTTGTTTGGCTTGAGTTGCACTACTTTTGAATGTTATACCAGAAAATTTGAATCGAAACAAATTTATTGTAATACATTTAAATAGACATTTTTCCAAGTACCTAATTGTTTGAATTCCTAGGGCTTACAGTTTAGTAAATATAATTTGATTTGTGTTTTGCTTGCCGGTTATACTGTACAGGCATGGCATTCAAATTCCCTTTAATCAATGTTCATGTTGAAAACAATCAATGAGCGCTCTGCTCTGTTAAGTGAGTAAAAGTGAACAATTAAAATGTACGAGGAGAGACTGAAGTTTAGCAATTAAAGAATTAATTAATTAAGGTGATACAGTTTCATAACTCATTACTTATCTACAGGGTTGAATGCACTCATTGTAATAAAATGGCCTTAAACCAGCATTTTCTGCTACTGTGCCCAGATCATGCTCATTGCTGCAAATCTGTGTTTAAACTGAGTACCTGATATTTAAACTGAGTACCTGATCTTCTAAAAATGATACATCTTTTTGAAGTGTTTTTCTCTGAAAATCACTTCAAAGTCTAATCGTTAAGTCAAATCCCCTTCATGGATTTCCTTTCGTTAAATCCATTTCACAGATATTTAGCTTACACACACCTGCATATAAACACACAGCATTACAAACTATCAAATGTTGATTTCATTAACTTAATTAACAACCGACACTAAATGTGGTATATTGGATGAACATGACCTAGCAGTATCTTTTTTTTACCTTGTTGCTGTGCTTGGACTAGTAATGCTGTGTGTGCGTGTGTGTGTGTGTGTGTGTGTGTGTGTGTGTGTGTGTGTGTGTGTGTGTGTGTGAATGGACCTGACAGAGGTTGAGTGTTTCGGGGTAAGATGCTGCTTCCTGTCAGAGCTGCTGTCTGAACCATTTATCATTTTGATATTTCTCCCCTCTGGTGTCTTTCTCTCTGCTTTTCTCTGCTCACTTCACTTCAACTCAACTGAATGTGATTTACAGAGTGCACACACACACGAATAACTTTACTCTGGGAATCACTGCAAAATAATATCTAGATTTCTCTTCAGACCAGGCCCAATCCTTCTAGTGTTACTTCTATTAACAGGCAGAAGAAATACATTGTAGGGCAAAATCTGTCCCCAAAGAAGTTTTCCTTTTGTTACATAACTTTTTCTAACACCATCCCCGTCTTTCTTAATCTTTATTTTCCCTTAATCTACCTTCCATCGTCTCATCCTCTTTGCTTCTCAGTATCAAAGCCACTAATTTGTATTCCTCATTCTTTCTCAGCCTTTCTCTCTAACTCCTTCTCTCCTCTGTCCTGATATAGTTTCTGTTTGAATGAGCTTCAGTGAGAACTGCAAGGAAAGAGCAAAGTACTTATTCAGTTTCCAACCTTGGTAACAAAGCTGTCAATTTAATATTGCTGCCATGGTATTTTCACTGTGAACTGATGAGTCAGTGCGTGACTATTGGTGACATCTATCAGCAGTGTCACAAGTTTCTCTCAAATTTAAGAGCAGTGCTTATAATCTACTTTGCATGTCACCACCTCTAAAAGAGGATTATAATGTATTTTTCATGAACTTTCAAGTTTGTTCACCTTTAATGAGAACCTTCAATGTAAAACCTTCAAATATCCTGACCCTCTTCCTGACGAGGAAAAACTTCACTTAACGCCACTACATTTGAAATAGCTTTGTCATTCTTTTTCTTTCTGTTTCTGTGTTGTATTCATTTAGGATCAAATCCCATATGCACAGTATAAAGAGCTAACATACTCCTGGAATGTGTCTTCATTCAATCTGAATGCTTTGTTGCACTTCTATCATGTTGGAAATATACTTGCTTTTTAACCTTGGGTTAGAATCCACAGTTGGCTGTATCATGAACATAACTGTTCATGACTGTTCAAACTTGGCTTTGCACTCTGTGTTACTAGATGATACCTCTAGAGGGCACCATGGAGCTCAAGTCGTATACAACTACTGGATTTGCAGGGAAACAACAGATACAGTGACACTCCAGGAGGGTTAACTCTGACATCAGAACAAACAAAATAGTAACATGAATAACCGATAGTAGCATCAGATCAGCTCAGGTGACTCAGCATTCCAACTCTATTTATCCAACATGTCTGTGCACCTACATGACGGTCCCAAACTTCTTTCTATTTAGTTTTGCTGGTTTCTACATCAACTTCAAAAACAGAACTTAACTGTTAGCCAGCTAGTTTGACAGGCATGTCTGTCGCTGTACAGTGGCAATGACACATCATACAGATGTGGCTAATTACAGACTCTGTATTGACTCTAAACATCTCCTCTGCCTCTATACTGCCCCTACAGTTCATGTACGTACTGCATCTTACATATGTTTTTAAGTTGTGGACAGCCAATGCTCCAACAAATGGACAGCATGCAGGGCAGTCATCATAGACATGCTTAAAAGCAAATATATCTGCAGCCTTAGACAAGTGGTTTAAGATCATTCATATGGTTGAGTCTTTGATAAAGTCATAACAAAGCAAATTAATGCTCCGCAGAGGAAAAGGATCTTCCCTGAACTCTTGCTATGGGAGGAACTTAACCCACAAGTGTCCCATTTGATATTCTGGTCTGAAAGCGGCTGCCTGCAGCTCAACAAAAGATGTAACAATAAGAGTAAGTGATATATGATCAAGCCAGTACACTCATTAACAACTGCTTGTCAGATGGTTATTTGTTTGTCAAGTCAGAATTGAATGCTGGAAGACAGTTTGAAAATGTGAAGCATTATATATAGATTAACACAGGAGTCCATTTTCTGTTAAGTCTGTGTTCAAATGTAATGGACAAGAAACTTTACTTGCACTTTCCTTTGAACAGATAAAAATGTGCTGATGAATTTGTCTGTATACTCAAAAGGATTAAAAAGGGTACAGAAACTGGACTGAGGGTTATCGCAACAATGTTAAAGGAAAGACTACAGAAGTCTGCCTTTAATATTACACCGTAAGCACAAATACATGAAGTGAGTTTAACCGCAGGCCTACACAAATGTGTTCCAAATGATCAGTATTATCTAGAACTAATAAAGGCCCCACTTTTATTAAAGGTAAATGAGGAGTGGCTGAATGCTAATGTTAGCTCTGTTCTGAAGGTAACGTGTGGGTAATCAAAAATTTGTTTTTTAACTTGAAATGTGGCCTGATGTTACTCCAGATTTGGAGAGAGAGACGTGATAACAACATTTGAGCATCCCACCCTGAGCTAGACGTCACAGGAATATGTTCCCACTGTGAGCGTTACCATGCCTTATGGTGCCTTTCATTGATAGGTCAGCCAAAAAGAGACCGGAAATATTTGAAGGAGAGAGTGGGGAATCAAATTGGGCTAAGGGCTTAAGGTTGGAATGGAACTTGGGCCATCTGCATCTTAACGATATGAATGTTGAATATGAGGTGCACGATATAACCAATGAACTTAACTGGCGTCAATTGGCTTTTCACATCTGCATCAGACATGGTGGTACAATCAACTAATAAAACATCAAATCATACGTAAAAATACTTTCCCACCATAACTTAAGAGTCCGAGCCCAAGTACTCAGATCATCCTATGTCGGTGCAATGTATCAAAATATTGTAAATGATGCCTATTTGTCAGGATGATACATGAGACGATATGTGCTGACAAGAGGCA